ATCAGCGGTCTGAAGCGTACCCGGCCTCGCCCTTTTGCACCTCCTCGGCCCGCAAGTCCGACAAACATACCGCTCCCAAAAACTACTCACGTCACGAGTCATTTGGTCAGCAGCAGCAACTGCGAATTCCCATCTTCATATCCAGGGCCTCGGCAGATTCGAGAAGTGCTCTTCCGAGTACGTCTACCTTTTATCCCTCCCTCACATTCAACAGCGGCCTCTTTCCAGAGCGCACTTTGACCGGGTTTTCGCTCAGCTAGCCAGATCCTTGCTTCGATTGCGCTACGGCTGCTCCGCGATCATGTCTGGCTTCACGGTCATCTGGGTCTTGGTCGCTGCTGCGATCGCAGGAGCCGGATCATGGCTGGTCACGCCTAAAGGCCCGAATCAGGTGTGAGTGAACGAGGAGACTTTGGGGCGACATATCGCTTGGAACGCGTCGATTGAGTGGCGATGCGCCATTTCGTGTCGAGTACTGGAAGCCCGGCCCATCCGCAGGGCCTTGACAGCCGCAGGACCGCCAACGAGTCGACAATGCTGCTTAGTGTAGCCGATGCAAAGCTGGTCAGACCTGCCCTGCTTCCACGCCTCACGCAACCTGCGCAGAGCTTTTGCAGAGAGGCGCGGCGAAGACATCCATGCTGACTGCTGCTCGCCTTCGCCCGTGCCAGTCTGATCAGGACTTCTGCCATCCTCACCCTCACATGCTGCTACCTCATGTGGACCATCGTGTACCTGGCGCAGCTTCATCCTCTCATCAGTGAGTCATAGCTCTGCTGGGAAAGCATGCCAGTAGCGCACACACCTAGCACTCAAGAGCAGTGTGCTGAGCTTCAGACTGACGCCTCCGCATCCCTCTCATGCCTTTTCTTCACTATAGGCCCCAAGCGAGCAGACGTTCGATTTTTGGAAGAATGAAGGGCAGGCTTCTAACGAGGATCCCTGGGCGCAGGGCCACTTCGCCTCGAGGAGGAAGTGTAAAGAATGACCGTGTGGTCTAGCAGGCAAGGGAGCGCCTCCTGGCGATGCCACACTGGGGATCCGCTCCTCATCCAAACTCAACCCCACATTGCTGCCGCACATTCGTCGCAGCCTCCGTTGTACTATACATTCATCATCCTCTGATGCTAAGACTTCGTTACAACAGACAAAGGTGTGACTGCTGAGTCAGACTACGCATCCGTGGTCTGTGTGGTAGGAGTCATCGGGTGAGCATGCATACATGCCGAGAGTCTTGGAATCTGCCTCGGCCCATCTATTTCCCAAGAATGGCAGCCTCTGGCACACCTCCTCGTGGCTAGGCTTGAATGAGGACGACGGTGTAGTGAGCTGTCTCTGTGCCTATGATGTGCTCGATATGACGGTCTACGAAAGCGACTTGTGCTTACATCTGACTTGTGATTGTCTGATTGGTGTGCAAACGTGGTGGGAGGCTGAGCCTGCATGCCACGCGTCCCCAGCTCCTTTGACTCCCACCACCAACACTACCACCATTCAGGGTATGAAGAAAAGGGTTGCATTGATCGACGCCAAAAAGCTACAGGGAGTGTGTGAATGCAGAGTCTACGAAAAGAAAGCTTGTGAAGAATGAGCGACGGCTTCTCAGGTGCCTCTGAAGGATGGCCTGACCTCCCAGTCCGCTACACTCCCATCGAAGAGGTGGTGCAAAAGCTTGAAAGGACACTGCGCCATAGCGTCGAACAGCAACGAGACGGTGGGCAAGAAGAGCAAGGAGTCAGACGCTTTCGGATGCTCAATGGTGGACTGACCAATCGGGCATGCCTTCTTACCCTCTCGAGAGCAAGACTGGTCGTGCGGCTGTTGGATCCTACATCTGCCGAGTTGCTCAGCATCAACCGGCACGATGAGGTGTCCGCAAGTCGACACGCTGCTACACTCGGAATTTCGCCCGAGCTCCTTCTTTTCATCGCGCCCAGCCCAGCAAGCTTCACAAACTCGGATGACGCCGAGCATGTCCTTGCTGAAAGTCAGCTGGGACATTCAGGATCAGCACCAAAAGGCTTGCGAACTGGTGGAGCGATGGTCCTTCGACACGTAGACGGCTCAACACTGGCAAATCAAGATGTGCAAGATCTGTGCAGTGGGCAGCGCACATCGGATCTGATGGCCTTTGTAGAGCCTATTGCTCGTTTGCATCTCAGTCGAGCAGGAGCTTTGGAATCTCCTAGCTTCTGCAACGAGTTCGTGCCTCGTGATGCTCGAGTCAGGTATCTTCGCACGCTGCACAAGGTGGGAGGAGAGACACCGCCGGGGTACCTGGTGAGTGTGTCGTTCCAAATGCTTCCAGCTTTCGTTGGTCACTTGCGTCGAGGGAGAGGAAGCAGACATCGATCTGAAGCTTTGCGTGCGATTCAACAGGAGTTGCTGCCAAAATTGAAAGTAATCGAAGACGCGTTGGAGTTTGCGGAAGACAAGTGTCCTTGTCACAACGATCTCTTAGCGGCCAATTTCATTCGGGCGCAGTCGGAGACTGCTTCAAGGATAGGCGTTGCTTCCTCAGGCGGCATTCGCTGTGCTAGTAGCCGTGCGACGTACTCCATCATCGATTGGGAGCTATCAGGTCTGGGTTGGCCTTCCTTCGAGCTCGGTAACCTCGCATCCGAATGCGAGCTCAATCTGGAGCAGACTCGGCATCTCGTCGACGCCTACTGGCAAGCGGTAGAAGCTGAGCGCGCTGACTCGTCCAGCTCGACAGCGCCGAAGCAGGAAAGCTTACGACAGCAATCCCGACTTGCTCGTGCTCGCTTGTGGGGCATATCTGCCAAGCTCACTTGGGTCGCGTGGGGTTGTCTCATGCGTCTTCGACCCGCTCTTGAGCACCAGGACGGTCGAATGAAGGAGCACGAGAAGGACGAGAATTTGGAAGAGTGGATCGAGATCCGTTTTCAGGCAGCTCGTGAATTCCTCAAGGATCACGAAGACGAGGTGCAGAGACTGTGTCGACAGGTCAAAGAACAACCGCAGGCAGAGCCTCAGAACGTGACGTATCTCAAAACCGACTCAAGCTAATATCATGCAATCAACAGCGGCTTGTGTCATGCATTTTCGCTGCGGTTACGCTGAGTGCCATGGTAGTGGTACACAAGCAACGGTCGCCGTCTCAGGTGAGGGTAGCAAGCCCAACGCTGTTGCTTTTGGTGTTGGTGGCAAGGTAGACATTCTTGAGGAAAGCCGCTCCTACAAGCCACTCGTTTGCCTGGCCAACATCACCAGACGAGATGGCCGAGATGCAGTCTCCTTTGAGATTGTTCGAGTCCACAGGCAAGAACTTCATGTCGTCAGCTCTCATCTCCCAGTCCTGCCCGCCAAAGCTGAAGGAGAGCTTGCCGGATGTGGTGCATGGAATGGTGTAGCCGCCCTGTCCGTCCGGCTTGGATCCCTTGATGGCATCATGGACCGCGTCGGCATCAGCTTGAGGGGCGACGATGAGCGTTGTGCCAGTGTCGAGGATCGCTGTGCGCTGAGATTTGCCGGTGCCGCTGATCGAAGAGATCTTTTTGCCGTCGTAGGTCACTCCATCCAGGTTGATCTCCCAAAAGCCTTGCTTCGACACATTGCCGACTTCTTTCAAAGCACCACGATACTTGCTCGCATCGACGCCGCCAAACGTCACTTCGCCATCATTGTCAGCGTCGGAGGCTCTACCCAGGTGGTATCCCATGACCGGGGCAGGCACCAATTTGGCGCTGTAGAGAGCGTCGATTGGGGTCGGACTCTTGCTGTTAGCCAGCTCTTGTTTTGCGAGACCCATGAGCCCATCGAAGGGGACGCCAGGATCGCTGAAATCGGTCGTCTCTTTGCGTGCCAGGCCGAGCGTCTGATTTGCCAGCTTCATCCCAGCGATATACACGTCGTCTCGCCCCAGTATGCCAGAGACCGAGCCGGTACCGTACGTGATGCTAAAAGGGTCCGTGGTTCCTTGAAAGGTCTTCGAGACGCTTTTGCCGAGCTTTTGATGGACTCCGCTACAATTGTCGCATTTCGTGCTTCCCACCCATGTGTCAGCGGAGCCAGAATCGACCTGAGTGTTTGGAGAGCGTCAGCATGGGTATGCGGTGACGTTGGATTGCGCACTTTCACACTGCACTCACTAGCATACGGAAAGGCGTGTTCTCGCTACCGATTTGAATTGTCGCGACGTAGCCCACGTCATTGGCCTCGATATCGAGGCCCAGACTTTGCTGAGCACTGGGACTCGACGGGTTCTTCAGACCGCCAGCGGCTGCCGCATCCAGAGCAGCCTTGGGATATCCCGCACTGCCGTCAGCGTCAGCCGCTGACTTTTTGCTCGGCACAGTAGCGTTGGAATTTGGCTCCGTTATCGTCTTCGATGTAGTGGGAGCGGCCTGCGGTGCAGACTTCGCCTTGCACGAACTCGAAGCCTTTGCTGCTGTGACGCCAGGTTTGGCAGTAGATGCTGCCGATGCAGCTGCGCTCTCACTGCCACCCAAGAGACCCGTGAGACTATCCAGCAAACGTCTTCCCAATTCTTCTGAATCGCGATGCTGGATCACCACACCGATTCGACCATGTTTGCCCTTCGCAAACTTGACGGGCTCTGGCTCTGGCTCTGGCTCTGGCGCCCTCTTGCGTTGGCCGACTACCGCTGCTCGTTTGGATGGAGATGGCGGGGA